TTATGAGCTTAGAAAATTTCTCACAAAGAATTTTATTAGTACTTCCAAAAATAATATCATTAACATAAATTTGTACCAATAAAATGTGATCATTTTCTTGAATTCTAAATAAGGTTTTATCAACAAGGCCTTTTGTGAAACCACAGTTAATTAGAAACGTTGATAGGGTCTCATACCAAGCTCTCGGTGCTTGTTTTAACCCATATAATGCCTTCTTTAATCTGTAGACCTTATTAATATCACCTTTTACCTCGAAACCGGGAGGTTGCTCAACGTAGACTTCCTCTTCAAGTAATCTGTTTAAAAATGCACTTTTCACGTCCATTTGATAGACAGTGAAATTCTTGTATGCGGCATAAGCTAGAAATATTCTGATGGTTTCTAGTCTTGCAACGGGTGCAAACGTTTCATCGAAATCTATGCCTTCTTCTTGTGAATATCCTTTTGCCACTAAACGTGCTTTATTTCGAATGACGATTCCATCCTCATTAGCTTTATTCCGAAAGACCCATTTTGTTCCAATTATATTGTAATTTTCAGGTCTTAGAACTAATTCCCATACGTCATTTCTCTTAAACTGTTCAAGCTCTTCTTGCATTGCATTGATCCAATCTGGATCACTTAGTGCTTCTTCAATGCTTGTGGGCTCCACCTGAGAAAGAAAACAAGAGAATAAAGAATTTATACTTGAGGACCTTGTTTTTACTCCTTCTCGTGGATCTCCAATCACTAGCTCTGGAGGGTGATTTTTGAGCCATCTCAAGTCAGGTTGTAGATTGTATGAGCTTTCCACGTTTCCCTGTTCAGTAGGTAAATTGGAGGTAGACACATTTTGCTCATCAGATTGATCTCCAATTTGTGTATTGACTTGAGAGTTTTGATTTTCCACGTGTGCATCTTCATTGGCTTCCACGTGTCCTTCACTATTGCAATCAATGTCCAATTGCTCCATACCCTGTACAATTTGATCTTTAAAAGATATGTCAGCATCATTAAATGATTTTTCAACTTGACAAATCTCCTGATCATTTTTGTTGCTTTGGGTTTCCTTCATATGAGCTTCATCAAATGTGACATGAATTGATTCTTCTACCACCATTGATTTCTTGTTCAATACTCTGAATGCTTTACTGGTAGATGAATATCCCAAAAATATTCCTTCATCTGCACGCTCATCAAAAGTCTTTAGATATGTTTTTCCATTATTAAGAATAAAACATTTGATACCAAAAGTATGGAAATAGTTGAGTTTAGGTTTTCTCCCTTTCCATAATTCGTACGGAGTCTTATTGTAAGACTTATGTATCAAGCTCCGATTTTGTGTGTAGCAAGCGGTGTTGATTGCTTCAGCCCAATATCTTTTAGGTAGCTTGGCTGACGTAATCATCACTCGTGCGGCTTCTTTTAGCGTTCTATTTCTTCTTTCGGCTACACTGTTTTGTTGAGGTGTACGTGCGGCAGATAGTTGATGTAGAATTCCTTGGGAATTGTAGTAGGCTTCAATCACTTGATTCACGAACTCAGTTCCACGATCCGTTCGGATTTTTGCAATTTTCAAGTCTTTCTCATTTTGTAGTAGCTTCAGTAGCTCTGGCAACTTTTGCTCCACTTCATTTTTCTTTTTGAGAAATATTGTCCATGTGTACCTGGAAAAGTCATCAACAACAACTAGTGTATATTTCTTACCACTTAGACTTGCTGGGTCTACTGGACCAAATAGATCCATGTGTAGTAGACTTAGCGGTCTTGTTGTAGATTCTTGAGCTTTGGATTTGAAAGATGACTTGACTTGCTTTCCTCTTTGGCAATCATCACATATTTGATCTTTCTTGTAGACAATGTCGGGTAGACCTTCAACTAATTTGTTTCTTGCTAGCTTGTTGATAGTCTTGAAGTTTAGATGATTCAACTTCTTGTGCCATTCCCAACTTGTTGCGTGTGAGTTGTTTGCTAGTAGACACACTGATTCTTTTCTTGTGTTCCAATCCACAACGTACATATTTTTCTTTCTTATTCCTTCGAGAACAACTTCTCCTGTGGAATTATTTTTCACTTGGCACTTCTCTTTGAAGAACTCTACTAGATATCTTTTGTCACAAAATTGACTTGTACTTAACAAGTTGAATTTTAGACCTTCAACAAAGGATACATCTTCGATTTTTAAACCATTTCGAAATATTGTACCGATTCTTTTTGTTATGCCGTATCGTTCATTTCCACCGAATACGACTTTTGGTCCTTCGATATTTTTAAGATTCACAAGACTTGGTTTATTTCCAGTCATGTGTCTAGAACATCCACTATCAAAGTACCAAACTTCCTGCAAATGAATTAAACATTTTTAGGTACCCAACTTGACTTGGGTCCTTGGGTGTTAGTCATTTTTGGTACCCAAATCCACCTTGTACTCACTGATCTAAGTTTAGGTGATTGGTAACCATTAAACACATTATAATCATATTTAATTTTTGAAAACATTTTTTGTGCCGGTTTTTGAAAATTGACTCGATTTCTTGGCACGTGGGATATAAATTGTTTGGGCCTGTGATAAGCATTAAATCTGGACTTAGTCCATGGTTTAATATTTCCAAACCAATCTTGTTTAGAGGGATAGAGTCTCCCTGCCCCAATCCTCGGATTTCTTCCCATTTTCCTATGAGGACTTTGTGCACTAGACTCATTGGTGTATTTCCATTTAGGAACAAACTTTTGTCTTTTAGTGTAATGTTTGGACGAAATATTGTTTCTTTGAGGCTTTGGTCCAACAGTGTTAATTTTGACATCAGTTTGGTAACCAATTCCTTGTCTCACTGTGCTTTCTTGACCTTTTACAAATTTTACTACTTGAACTTTATTACTTAAAGTAGTAGTAGAATTGGTCAATTTCTCGGAGGCTTGAGAACACGATAGATCATAACCAAGTCCGGTTTTATCAGTTGAGGGTTTTTGCATATTTACCATTTTGTCCATTATTTTGGATGAATGCGTAAATGTTGCTATAACCTCTCTGAGGTTGTGTTCTCTCACTTCCCTTGATTTACACTCTTCTTGAAGACAAATAATTTTATCTTTCAAGTCTTTCACTTCAAGTAGAGCATTTTGCAATTTTTCATTTAATTGATCTTTTTCAAGAATCAGATGATTATTGCGCTCTTTGAGTTGAGAGTGAGTGTCCATTGCGGTTTGACATTCTTCCATTAAGTGAAAGAGGGACTCTCTAGAAAATGAAGAATTAACAGAGTCATAAGATTTAGATGTTACCTCATTTTCTTCATGTCCATTAGCCATAAGACACATGTCCTCGTGTGGTGTGTTGTTGGAGATGCTCATGCAAAACATTGCATTGTCATCCTTTGAGGTGTCACTTTCATCACTTGAAGATTCTTCTGACTCACTTATTTCAAGTGGGTCACTGATGAGTGCTTTTCTTCTTACTTTTAATCTTTTATCTTTGGGCTTGAATTCTTCCTGTTGAGGGTTAGTAACATTTGTGTACTGACTTTTACTCACCTTGGGATATGGACAACTTGCTGCAAAGTGTCCCGGTTTTCTACAGTTGTAACACAAATTTGAATCTTCCTCAATAATTTCTTTCTTCGAATTCTTCGTTGTATTCCACGATTTCCATTGTGGATTTTTCTTGTAGTTGCTTCTCTTCATGAATTTCCTGAATTTCTTGACAAAGAGAGCAAATTGATCATTAGGCAATAATTCAACATTTTGTACTGACCTTGAGGTTGATGGTTGCTCGGCTATAAGCGCGTTGTTCTTTTCTTCATGATCTTCCTCTAATCTTGATTTCATCTCAAATTCATAAGCTTTTAGATCACTAAAGAGCTTATCGGTTGATAGGGTTTTTAGATCCCTATGATCTCTCATGGCTGTGACCTTCATGTCCCATGTAGATGGTAGACCACGTAGAATTTTGAGTGAGATTTCTTTTTGATTAATATCTTTTCCAAGATCATTAATCTCTCCTAAGATTTTGGCAAATCTTGTTTCCATGTCGGTAATATTCTCGCCGGTTAGCATTTTGAAATCCTCAAATTTCTTTAATGCTATAGTGAGTTTATTATCCTTTTCTTGTTCGTCTCCTTCACCAATTTGAATGAGCATTTCTTAGCATATACAGACAAAGAAAATAATTTTTTAGGTAGATTAGTATAGATTTGAGCTTTGAAGGTACTTATCTTTAGAAAAATTTCTTTGACCCTTTTTAGAGAAAGGTTTAGACCTCTTAATCTCTCTACATGTATAGGTCCAACTGTTTCCAGTGATCTTCAACAAATATCTTCCTTTATTGACTTTCCCAAGATCTGTAAACAAAAGAGTTAGGGTTTTGATATAATGAACAAAATTATATGTTTGTTGGTAGAAAGTGAAGAAATCATACTTCATGGGTAATGAACAATGGAAGATGAAATGTGTTGTTCGAACTGTTGGAAATAATGAACCAAAGTCGATTTAATACAAAATAATATTTATATATATCCACACGAAAATATATATAAAGATATTATTCTATATTCTGAAATATAAATATACACACAAATGCACCATACAGTGTTCGAGAGTACACCAGAATGAAATGCCAAAAATGCACCACACAAAAAAAAAAAAAATACACCACACATAATGGTGTATTTTCGAACACTGTGTGGTGCATTTATGCATACCTAATGTTGTATGTCGCACTGACTGCACGGGAAGACCTGTTTTCACCGGAACCTGACCCTATATGGCTATTTTTCCAGTGCAAACCAACATTAATGTGTGAATAAGTGGATCCATCCGGTGCATCGATTAATTAGATCTGGCGGTATATATGTTGTGGTGCATACCATCAAGCTGCTCCCCCCCCCCACATGATGCACACGGGCCTTCTACACATAGCGTTTGAATTGTTGTACAAGACTGCCTAACCGCTATTTTCATGCATACTTTACGGGACCTCATCCTAACCTGGAGACCGACTTCGGACATAGCGACTAGCGGTGAGAATGGGTGAACGACCATCTACGCGTGGAGCAGGTTCAACTTCTTGTGACCATCGGCCATGGCTATCCAACAGCGAGCATATGTATCCACCGTTATTAGTTGTACCCCGTACTTGTGCGGATGGGGAGCCGACGGACGTGCATCCCGAAACAGAAAACAACAACGCCGGTGGTGAAACCGGAACAAACAACCCACCACTACGGGCCCCCGCGGATGATGACCACTCACAGTCGGCAGAGATGACATTAGAGACAGAGGCGGCGGCCTGCGGCACCATCGGGCTAGCCCCCACAGTCCCCGGCGATGCTACATTACTACCCGCAGTTGGCCAAGAATTTAATACACTAGTAGAAGGCATCCAATTCTACATAAACTACGCCCGTATTAGTGGGTTCGACGTACGTCACAGCAGCGTCAAACTAGACCGGGACGGGGTTTCATATTTGCGTTATTTGGTGTGTTGCCGGCAGGGGGTTAGAGGCGGTGGGCACATCCCTCGTCGTTATGAACCTTCCAGTACTCGAGATCCCCGGGAGCGCCGCCGTAGGATTTCAAACAGGGTAAAGTGTCGAGCAAGGATTGGGTTCAGGAAACGAAGCAACAGGAAGTTCTTTGTGTCTATTTTTGAGGAGAAACATACCCACCAGTTGTGCTCGGAGTCGTCTAAGGTTTTTTTGAGGATAAACAGGCGTCTCGATGTAGCCCAGCAAGCGTTTTTAGCGAATTGTGTTAAATCTAACATTGGTGCATCTACAGGCCTCCGGTTCTGCAAAGAAGCTAGAGGTTCATACGCAAACATTGGAGCAACTGACGTGGAATTCCACAATTTCAAGCGTGACCTACAAAAGTACGTTGAGGCGGGTGATGGGGAGATGATTATTGCAACGTTTAAAGCGAAGCAAGAAGTTTGTAGTGATTTCTTCTTCGATCACCATCTAGACGAGGAAGACCGCCTAGCACGGTTGTTCTGGGCTGACCCAAAAGGAAGGCGTACATTCAGGTGCTACGACGATAATGTTTCATTTGACGCAACCTACGGGACAAATAGGTATGCAAATGGATTTTGATATATGAAATATGTGGGTGTCAGCCTCATTTTTTGGGTATGTTAATGACTGCAATGTGCCTATTTAATTAATAGGTTAGTTTTTATTCGAGTTTTGTTGATGAATATATAAGCTCGACGTTATGTGAACAATTGTTATCATAATGTAGTAACCTGGTTATAGAAATGAGTGGGAAGCTGTGATTTAAGATAATATGGTTGTTTTGGATTGTTTATTTTATTTTTTTTTTATTTAAGATAATATGGTTGTTTTGGATTGTTTATTTTATTTTTTTTTGTGCCAAACTTCTTGAACTAAATATTACAGGCGCTAGTGGTAGGGGAAGGAATTGTGTGGCTATGTGCATTTAAAATATATTTGTTGTTGTTACCTTCTGAAGAGAGTTAAGATAACAGTAGAGTCGTGATTTAGTAATCGTGATACAGAATTCAAATTCTCTAACTATATATATTCTTGCACGCAGGTACAGTATGGTTTTCGTGCCATTCACAGGCGTGGACAACCACAAGAGGTGCATTACTTTTGGGGCCGGTCTGCTGACCAAGGAAGATGCCGACTCATACACTTGGCTACTGGATAAATTCAAGAGCTCAATGGGGAAAAACCCATTATGCGTTGCTACGGACCAAGACCTGGTTATGAGAATCGCGATGGACCGAGTCTTTCCCGAGACCCGTCATCGATACTGCATGTGGCACATCATGACAAAGGTGAATGAAAAGCTAGGAGGGAGTGCGTTAGGCAAAGACGAGACGTTTCGCAAGAAACTAAATGATATCGTTTGGAATGAGAGGATCCACCCAGATGTGTTCGATGTGGAATGTCACCAATTAATGACTGAATACTGACTTACCGAGCACCGTTGATTTTGCAAACTGTTTGTAGAAAGGGAGAGTTGGATCCCAGCTTATTACTCAAAATTGCCCATGAGTGGATTGTTACGAACCACATCCCGTTCAGAAGCAGAGAATGGTGTTTACGGGAAGTTCACTCATCCACATTCAAGTTTGGTAGAGTTCTATATGCAATTTGAGAGCGTGCTCGCAACACAATGATACCGACAGTCTAAATTGAATGCAGCGTGTGAGGGATACTTGCCTGAATTTAAAACTCCATTTGCACTTGAGCGTCACATTGCAGAAGTGTTCACGATAACTATTTTTTACGAGCTGCAGACAGAGCTCTAGGCTGCTTGTTTTTATTGCTGTGTTGTAGGAATACATCAAGAGGGTGAGAGCACCAATTACACCATCAAAGGCGAATACAACTCGAATTTCATCGTGCAGTTCAACCCGAGGGGCCCTGATGCGTCATGCAACTGCAACATGTTCCAACGAACCGGCATGGTGTGCTGTCATATGTTCCTTGTTTTCCGAGGGGGGGGGGGGCACAGATAGAGCAATTACCGTCGAAATACGTTACCCGTCATTGGTGCAAGCACTTAAATTGTTCTCATTGTGGAAACGGACTAGCGTCTGGTGAACACCCAGCACCTATTGCGTCCCAACTGTGGTCAGAAATTAGCACATGTGTGGCATTAGTAGGCACCAGCATGGAGCGCCAGACACGTTTAGTTTCGGTATTGAAGGATCTTTCTGCTGAATTTGGAAGCGACGGTATAACTGTGGACCCTATTAAGGGTAACCATAGTGCGATCAAGGCATTATGCGGTGTGGAGCCACCAGAAAACATCAGAATCCAAGCCCCCGCCCAGGCAAAGAACAAAGGCACTGGGAAACGAATAAAAAGCAAGCGGGAGATTGCGATTGAGCAAAGTGTGAAAATTGGTAGAAAGTGCGGTATTTGTGGAAAATATGCCCGCCATAATGCCCGTAACTGCCCTTTGAAGTAACGCGAACTACCATTTATTTTTCTTGTTAATTTCTGCATGTTGAACTGGTTTTTTATTCCCCCGCCACAGTGCTTGAACATTATTATGTCTGATTTAAATAGTAAAAAATTATGGGTTTATCATTTTGGCGTTCTTGGATAGTTCACCATTAGTATTTAGTTTAAACTTGGATTTTGTTGATGGCATTTTTTTCTGGGCACAATTTTAATGTATTCTTGATTTTGCGTGCAAAATAATGGTCCCTAAGTTAAGCAGTAATACATGTCTATTTCTGGTTAGGCAAAAGTAACAACGGTGCAAAATAATGGTCCCTAAGTTAGTATTCACATTAATTACCATCTTTTTGTGTAGTTATGCAGTAATACATGTTTATTTTCCGGTTAGGCAAACTAACAACGGTGCAAAATAGAAAGTACAAAATACACTACCTAAGGCTATGTATTACCATGATGCACAGAATATTGAATAATTGTAGGAACATAAAATAAACTAATATACAACCAAAAACTACACATGCATACTCTGGTACAGTGGTGCACTATTACCTACTTAGATTGCCAAAGGAATAGAGATAGACCATGTGAGATGAAGTAATTAAAACAATGCTAAAACACCAATAACCTCACTACCACAAAACACAAGATCCTAGAGGTGACAGTACCACTAAGTCACTGTTACTAATATGACTCATATGCATATATTAGTATCTGTAACTTGAGAAAATCAAAACTAATTTTCATAGTTGTGCTAATTCACAAACATAGCCAAAAAATGAGTCTGACACCATGATTTTATTCCTACCGTCGCGGCATTGGCAGCTTTATACTAACCAAAAGATGTCTAGGGAGACACTAAGCTACCACACCGATGCAAAAGATGTTTTAAATACGAAATCTAATCGAGTGCAGAGGAGTTTTTAATACGAAATATAATCAAATGCTAAACATTCTAGCCTATGTCCACATTATTGTGGGAGTTCACTAGATCACTGATGCAACCGTCCTTTTCTGTGCCGTCCAAATTCCACCACACGCGATGCAATGCTCTCTACATGTGTATTTTCCACGCTCAACAGGATGTTATGCATGTACCGCTTGCGCAGGTTCACTAGTTGTTTGGCATCCCCACATTGCAATCCAGTCTCCCAACTTACCCAGTCCTGCCCTGTGTACGCTTCCATGTGTCGCATTGTGAATACCCCATAATCTGAAGTAGAAGTGGTATCTCTCCACGCCATTTGCATTCTCTTTGGCTTCATCATTTGTAGGCATGCAGAGCGAAAACCCTGCAGCTTAGAGTCTAGGTAACTGGCTAGGCACATGGTCTGCATCACATTCATTTTTAAAAACCATTAAATTCACCGATGCAACAAAAATGTAATCAAGAGATTTTAAAAACTTACCAGCTCCCCCGGTGCACCCGCATACAACTCCTTGTTTGGCTTCTTTACCGACGAGCTATCTATGATGTCAAACCGAGAATACTCAAAGTTTATCGCCATCATGTAGTATGTGCCCTTGTCAAAAATTGGGAAAATGAACTGCGTTACCATTCAAAGAACGAGTAAGAGCATTGCATGTTAGCTGGTTATCTGTTTTAAACTAGACAGTATTAAACCTCACAGAATCTACGTCGGCCGTCCCATCATATCCCATATTTTGCAACACCGTATCCATACGCATCTGAAACCAAGCGACCCTTGCATCCTCGCTACCTGAGATGCCAACGACCATCCCAATCTGCACATTACTGTTAGTAATTAGGTTGGCTTCAAACATAGTTGACTATGTGGTGTGCTACGAGTTGCTTACTGTTGTGCTAGTCGGCAGAAACAGACGAGCCGGCACACCTGGCCTCCTTGATTTCTCCCGGGAATTGAGGACACAACACCATGCATCAACCACGGTTCTGTTCACACTTGTGACCTCTCTTAACATTTGGAACTGTGCCCACTTTACCGTTCGCTGAGGGTGTTGGAACAGCACTTCATTCCTAGAGACAAGAAACCATATCGTGTAGATGTTAATTCCAGGAATGATCCATAAGGTCGCAGGGGTAGATATTATACAACAAGCGAGTATCCACGCTTACCGGTCTCCCTCCTGGCATGTAAACACCCACAACCACACAGCATACACATGCGGCAGTGGGATCGCTGGATAGCCATAAGTGGTGCTGGAAAAAATGCCCGCAGAGCGGTCCCGTTGAATGAGTGGTTCATTCCCTTTAAGCCCTGGAACATCCACCCTGCGTGGCACAGTGCATGGTGCAATAACTAGTTCCTGTAACCAGATTACCGATGAGCATTCTAAATTACTGTAACATGGCCACACACAAGAGTTTACTTGAGGAGGCAGTGGCGTGTCGTTCGGAGCGTTGACATGCTTGTCTGCCTGTTTCATGTTTGCAAACTCCTGAGTAAGCCCTAGGCTAAAACTTGGCACATCAGACACACCTAAAGTCTCTGTTTGGGCTATCTCAGCTTGGTCAAGCAGCTGCAATAGTAGCCGCGATAAGCATTTCAAAGTCCGCTAACACTGCAATACACAAAGAGGTTACCTGATGAGACACTGATGTGGTATCCCTTTGGTTTGGTGGGTCAACCACCGGACCATCTGCAATGCCAACAGCCCCCGTGGCAGCTACCACAGCCTGGTCCAGCTCCCTAATAAAGTCTGCATCGTGCCAAAGGGGTTCATCGTCGCGAACGGGCGGTGGGACTGGCGGCCGCTGTGGTGCCTTCACTGCCTTAGGATGGTTTAGAATACACCATTCTAGTAGTTGAGCCGATTCCACCACCCTCCAGAAATTACAGTCTTCTCTAGCTGCCTGGGAGTGCTGGGTAACCAAGTCAACAACTCGTGTCACGAGCGAAAGCAAGTCCCCGGTGATTACCGCAAACTCATGGCTAAACACCTGCACCGCACCACACCCAAATCAGTGATTGAAAACATAACAAAGTAGGAAATTTTTCCCATTGCAGCACATTTTTATTGTGTGGGTACCATAATGCGCACCACCTCCCGTTGCATTAAGCACTCATTAAAAGCTGAAATCAAAGCTGAATTAAAACAACAACACTTCACCGAACCGTGTGATAAAACAGAATTCTTAACACACAGTGGCACATGTAGTTCAAAAAGCACTTAGGTTTGCAAGTGAGAAAGCACACCAGAACTATGTTTTAATGAGTAGTGCATTCTTGGGATACCTGGGAATAAAGCTTTTCAGTGCAACCAATTAGTAATGCTTAATATATTAGTAACTCTTAGTAACCAATTAGTAAAGCTTTTCAGTGCAACCAATTAGTAACTCTTAGAACTATAGGTAGCAGCCTACACATCACTAACACATAGCATGTTTTGACATGTTGCATGATTAGGCGCCTAGTGCACCGGGAATTTGGTTGGTAACTGTGCACCTGAGCTCACTGCGACTGACTGCTCAGCTACTTGACCCTGCCAACAATAAGGATGTAAGAGGAGAAACAAAGTACCTACTTAATTAGGCGAGTTTCACTATTACAATATCTATACTTCTCATTTGTAACCGTATTTGATGTGGAATATATGCATCACTGGCTTAAATCACTAAAAAGAGATAGGTTTTTTTGTGGGTCCACCAGCCTACACATCACTAATACATACCATGTTTTGCCATGTTGCATGCCTAGGAGGGTCGTGCACCGGGCATCCGGTTGGTATCTGTGCACCCGAACTCGCTGCAGCTGGCTGCTCAGCATCTTCACCCTGCCAGCAATCAGGATGTAAGAGGAGAAACAAGGTACCTACTTAATTAGACGAGTTGCACTATTATAATATCTACACTTCACATTTGTACCGTATTTGATGGGGAATATATGCATCATTGTCTTATAGTGAAATAAAATATTTTCATTCCATTCATTATGATGTAGATGTTAAAATCTAATTATAATAATAAACAGGGAACCTACTTAATTAGGCCAGTTGCACTATTATCTCCCAGAGTTTGTATTAACAGCGTATTAAATTTAAAAAGTATTATACTTGCCCTCCTTTCACCCGTCAAGGGCAAAGCCTGCAGAATGTATGTGCGTAGGGGAGCATCGACCTGCCCCAAACCAAAGGCCCCTGAATCGACCTCAGCCCACTCCCGATCGTTTATTTACACCGTGGTCCATCCATCAATCAAGGGGATCGTCCTTGGAATCTCCCGGGCGCCTACCTGAACCCTGTCCAAATATAATAGCTGGTACACAAACATATGCAGCTTCATTAGCAACAACAAACCAGTAGAAACAGACATCAACATACCCACTACTATACTTACAGCCAAGAACAGCAAAGGACCGTTGAATTCGCGGGATTTACCCTCAGACCAGGCCCGATGAGTAGTGCCTAACGAACGAACGAGGTACCCGCACAAGTCAAGGTCTTTAATCGTGTCCACATTACTCAACATGTGGACAATTCTTTGGTTTGCATAACCATTCAGAGTGCTTGCCACTAGTGTGGTCACCACAACAACACTAAAGTGGATTTTGAACCACGATCCCCCGTCGCTCAATTCCACCATCCGCTTACTCAAAGCCCTAACCGTGACTCTCCCCTTCTGTTGCTTCATCTCATGCCTCCACGCTCGCAACTCCGGGCTAACCGCCCGAGTATCCCGTTCAGAAATAGGTATCGGACCACTAGGGAGGCTAAAAACCAACGTAACATCCGCGTTGGTGACTGAAATGTAGCGACCATTACCCAGGTGTAGCCTCATTTGATCTGTATCAAAATTTCTAACCAACCAATGACCCATCCGCAACGGTACCTCCATAATCTTAAACCCAGTAGCGCCCCAAGCCCAATGCTCGTAACATCCTGCCTCTGCCTCGGCATTAGAGCCCCACGATGTTAGCCAGGTCCTTCGGCATCCCCCACGTGTTTATTTGAGGGAACTGGAGGCCTGTAGGGTGGTCATTCAATACCAGGGGCGGGGTGTGGAAATCGTCATCCGACGACCCTTCGTCACCACTGGGAATAAGAGGTTGGTGGCCATGATTTCCTGCGCACAACAATTACACACCATGAACAGTAGAGGATTTAAACCCCAAACAATGATCCAAACAACTATAAATAACAATTTGACTATCATTGCAACAAAATGGCTACGGCTCTGACCATAGGGAAAACCTAAACCAATCCTGATTTTGCAAAAAAAAAAAACCACAGTACCCCGGTTTTAGAGAGTAATACCACACAGAAAAACGCTCAAGCTAGAATTGAAAACACAGTAGCTAAACCCAAACCAATCCTGATTTGGCAAACGGACAACCGACCAGTCTAGAATTGAAGACACCACACTGGAGTTTAGCTCATGATACCGGCAAAGAAACAACTGAAAATCAACTGGAACCTCCCCCCCCCACCCCCCTCCAATAATTAGCTTTAGAGACAATGCATTCGAAATTGTAGTAATTGCAGTGAGGGTTGGGGTAATTTTATTGCAGTAAGGGTTGGTTTAATCATTATAGTAGGGGTGGGGCTAAATAAGTGATGAGTATGATGTTGTCACTACACAGAATGTTGAGATGAATTATTCCTAACAATCTACAGGTTCTATAAATAATGCCCAATTGCCCCTTAAGATTTATGTGTCCATTTGAATGCTATCAACTAACAACATATCATGTAAGAAGAGCCTAGTAAAATTTTGAAATAAACTGAAGATTTGTTTGGTTTTCTCAAAATATTGACAAAGTTACTGCAAAGTAACAGTTTAATGCATAGTATGTTGCTATTTCTATGTCTAAATTGCATTGCATTCTAAAGTATATGTTTTCATGTTCACTTCCTAACCCTGCATGGTTGGGATATACACTGTGGTTTGTGATGTTCTGTTTCATCATTTGCATAAATATGGCATGAGCAATATGTTAAGGATGTACATATCTATTTGGGTCTTGGTGTAACTGAGTAAGAGGCAAAATGTCTTACATTTGTATACCTGAAATCTTTTCCTAAGCAATTTGTGTAATGATATGTAACCCTAGCTATTATTGTTGTTCCATTTAGGTTAAGGGATTTGATCCCCTAGGTATAGCACTGGAAAATATGCAATTGAACTAACCTTTACGCCCCCACCGTGACGCCGTCCTACGCCGTGCAGCCACCCTACACGCTATCCCTGACACAGACCGGTCGAACGGGAACCTACAACCAGAGCCATGAGACCGCCGACGCGACTGCCGTTTGAAGCCACGGAACGTAGGCGGTGTAGACAGCGATAATTGATGTCTGCCCCGGCCACGCTGCAATTTGTATCCACCATTCGATCTCGCCATGAGCAGACGCAATTCCAATTCAATCGAAGACGATGCTCGACTGAGACAAACCTTTAGTCCAGAAAAGAAATATTCAAACTGGGGAAGACGATGCTCGACCGAGACAAACCTTTAGTCCAGAAAAGAAATATTCGAACTGGAGTGGCACGAGACTCCTAAGGCACCTACACCCCAGGCAAAGATACGGTGCAACACATGCATATCGAACGCCCTGCATCCCCACTTACGACCCTCCATCAGCATAAGATGTACGGCAGACACCAATGCGCAAGATCACATTAAAAACAAAATACACACCCGAACAACACCCTACATATATATATATATATATATATATATATATTATATATATATATATATATATATATATATATATATATATATATATATATATATATATATATATATACATGTATATATATATACACATGTATATATATATATATATATATATATATATATATATATATATATATATATATATACATGTATATATATATATATATATATATATATACATGTATATATATATATATATATACATGTATATACATATATATATATATATGTATATATATATATATATATATATATATATATACATGTATATACATATATATATATATGTATATATATATATATATATTTGCACTCGGGTGCGAACGGCTCGCCCAGGCGCGAAATAGGAATGGATTCTGTTCGTCCACGTGTCCAGATCTAATGGATGAGAAACACTGATTTTTTTAAAAAATGCGGTGGCATTTTCGTAAATAATTGAACATAGAAGTGCAAGTAAAATGTATTACAAGTGCATGTAAAATGTATTATAGGTGCAAGTAAAAATTTACACTGAACATCAATACTTAGTTGCACTTATAGTTCTAAGTAGTTGCACCTATAGTTCTAAGTAGTTGCAAACATAGGTATAAGTAGTTGTATCTAGGTGTATGAATGTTTGCGAGTGGTTTTCAGGAGTATTACTACCCGCTGAACTCAGATCAATGAATGTTAACAAGACAAAATTACATGCACTTATAGGTGAAAGTAGGTGCACATATAGTTATAAGTAGTTGCACCTATAGTTATAAATAGTTGCACAGATAGTTATAAGCACACCCAGGTGCATGAATGGTTGCGAAAAGTGAATGCTCACAAGGCAAAATTACATGCACTTATAGGTGAAAATAGGTGCACTTATAAGAGATTTTACTTGCACTTCAATGTTCAATTATTTACGAAAATGCCACCGCGTTTTTTTTTAAGTTATTAGATCTGGACACGTGTCACGCGCTGATTCGTTCGCATTTCCTTCCTAAGCACTTATTCGCACCTGAGTGCGTCACCTATATATATATATATATATATATATACACGTGTATATATATATATAGAATCGCACTCAGGTGCGAATGCTTCGCCCAGGCGCGAAATAGGAATGAATTCTGTTCGTCCACGTGTCCAGATCTAATGGATAAGAAACACTGATTTTTTAAAAAAACGCAGTGGCATTTTCGTAAATAAGTGAACATCGAAGTGCAAGTAAAATATATTACAAATGCATGTAAAATGTATTATAGGTGCAAGTAAAAATTTACACTGAGCATCAATACTTAGTTGCACCTATAGTTCTAAGTAGTTGCACCTATAGGTCTAAGTAGTTGCACACATAGTTATAAGTAGTTGCACCTAGGTGTATGAATGTTTGCGAGTGGTTTT